ATGTAAGATGACTTGAGATCTTTCTAATCTAAGATGGAGAAGCCATAAATGAACCGAGAATGACGAATAATGACTACAGTAAGCTCTCCATAATAGCAATCAAGAGTTTGGTCTTCTTGGGGGTAAACCATGACCGAAATAAGTGAAATTTCGGGAAGGTTTTTGGTCAGGTGACATTAATCTGTAGAAGAAGAAAAAGAGGAGGGGGCAGACATTTATGGATACCCCGGTGCCCTGTATTCATTTGGGTACAGATTCAGGGAGTCAAGCTTAAAAGAAACAAGAGGATAAAGATCTGTAAGAAAAGTCGAGTAGGTAAAGAATTTAACTCAAATATGGGGCAATTGGATGCATTTTTCCTTTTATACATATTTCATATTTGGTAACACAATACAATTGAATACATGATGATCAAATTTCTGACTTATTGAAAGTATAATCAACTTTCATTTTGCTGACATCTTTTTCATATATTAACTCATTCTTAGTCCAACTTACAAAAAATCTGTTTAACTTTTTTGCTCTTTGGCTTATTTTTGTTTTTCGAAAATGTAAATGGTGAAAATTATTATGGTATGTTACTACTAAGGCACTGAAGCTAGTTTTTCCATTTTAGTCGGCAGGACATTCTTCATCAAATGCTGGTAAAGGAAAAAGCAACCAAGGTAACGTGAGGGTTACCTATGGCTATAGCCTTGTAAAAGGAAAGGCTAATCATCCTATGGAGGATTTTCATGTTGCCAAATTCGTCCAGGTTAAGGGGCATGAGCTTGGCCTATTTGCTATTTTCGATGGCCATTTGGGGGATAGCGTACCTGCATACTTACAGAAGCATTTATTTGCTAATATTCTAAAAGAGGTGAGGTTTTGGTATGTCTTTTTCTATCCTTAATATTTGGATAATTTAGAAAAATGAGGTTGCTTCCCAGGTTATTCTAATGAAAAATTATTTAGAAAGGGTTAATTACGGATAGACCTCCTATAGTATCTTTGTATTGAACTTACCACCCTATAGTTTTATTGTTGCAGATAGACATCTTGAGTGGATTTTTTTTACCATTTTACCTCAAAGAAAGAGAATTTTTTTTTTGAAAAGTAGACCCTCTAAGGGTAAAAGAGTCATAAAATTTAACTCGGGGTCTATCCGCAACAATAAGACTAGAAGGATAGTAACTTCAAAACTGTAATACTACAGGGTTTCTATCTGCAATCAACCCTGTAAAAAAATATCAAATTTGAGATGTTAACTGACCTCCTTTTGATCATGAAACAGGAAGAATTTTGGACCCATCCTGATAGAGCCCTTTCAAAAGCGTACGACAGGACTGACAAGGCAATTCTTTCTCACAATCCTGATCTGGGACGAGGTGGATCCACTGCAGTAACTGCCATTCTTATAAATGGCAGGAAGTTGTGGATAGCAAATGTTGGTGACTCACGAGCAGTGGTAGCAAAAGGTGGGGAGGCAATACAATTGACGGTTGATCATGAGCCAAGCACAGAACGAGGCAGTATAGAGAATAGAGGCGGCTTCGTTTCAAATATGCCAGGTTTCACCGTTAGCCCAAAACTAGTTGTTAGTGTATGTTAGCTTTGATGATGGTAAAAGTTTTTATATGTACACGTATACATGAACACACACTTCAAGGTTGGGCATTGGACTCTGTTGGATATTAGAATGGCTTTAATTAATATGAAAATTTTTGAGTATTGGCATGAGAATGACGGTTGATCATGAGCCAACCACAGAACGAGGCAGTATAGATAATAGAGGCGGCTTCGTTTCAAATATGCTAGGTTTCACCCTTAGCCCAAAACTAGTTGTTGGTGTATGTTAGCTTTGATGATGGTAAAAGTTTTTATATGTACACGCATACATGAACACACGCTTCAAGGTTGGCCATTGGACTCTGTTGGGTATTAGAATGGCTTTAATTAATATGAAAATTTTTGAGTATTGGCATGAGAATGATTTGGGATGCTAAGGTTATCACTTACACTAACAGAGGGGAGTGGATGATAGTTTAGAATAAAAAAATAGCAATGCTTAATTAAAGTAAACAAAGTTTTTGGTAGTTTTCGAAGAAAAAGGCTAAAATACCAGATTGGTATATTTTGTTAACCTTAAGTACCAACCAATGTTTTAAATATCAGTTATCAGGGATTTATCAGACAGTCAAAATTTATATCGGATAGTGGATATCGGGGATATATCAGGGATAAGTAGTATTTATCAGAGGGACATTATCGGATGATGATATACATAATATAATATTCTAAAATGTAATCTAACCATACTTAATAAAACATAAACATACCAAAATATAAATAATTATGTTTAGGATCACTTACCAATGGTAGAAACTTGGGTCGGGTTGGATTTAAAGTGCATTGAATAGATGCCTATTGCCCGAAATCTAAAACTCAAACCAAATGACGATAATTCCGATTTTTAGGCTAACAATATCGGCCAATAACTCACTTTATCACCGCATTATCGGCGATAAACATCCAAAAATGACAACCGATTTAGAGTCGAACTTATCATAGCGGAAGACCCCAAATACCGATAAATCGTCGATAATATCAGTTTATCAGCCTATATTTAAAACATTGGTACCAACTTGGTATATATTCTTACTCTGGTGACGATAATGTATATAAAGTGGGACAATGTGACAACAAGGGGTATTTTTTGGCCGGAGAAAAATTTCCAGCGAGATCACCTCATGTGACTCGTCATTTGTGTCTTATGTGGCTTAATTGGGCTTATGTGACACAGATTAAGTGGGATATATAACTAATATTTATGAAAAAATCCCCAAAAATTTCCCTCTTCGCCCTCTAATCTTAGTTCATGTGAGGCAGAGAACAATTCTTCCTCAAATTGCAGAGATTCTCATCCAACTTCAATTGTCTTAATCCAATTTCAATCCTAGGAGGAAGAAGAACACCCAACCACACCCTTTTAAGCCCTAATTTGAGGGAACAAAACCACTGTTATAAATAGCGGTAAATAGTCCCGCAATAACGACGCTAATAGCGTTAGCGGTCCTTGCCACGACGTTATCGCCCGCTACGCTATCGCGCAATAGCGATGACATATTGCGGAATATGTCTGTTCGTAAAAACGGTCAATAGTGTGTCATAACGGTAAATAGTGAGCGATTGCATTCGAAATTTACTTTTTGACTGCTATTTAAAAGCGGTTTGAGGCTTATTTTTTTTAAAATTAAACTCAACCCTTGACCATTGTATTCCATCGTCTCCTGTGATTTTCAGCATACTTTCACCACCTCTCATAGCCTTTGGCACCTACCTTGATACTTCCTCTCACCTCCTTCACCGTTAGCCCTTTTAGGACAGTCCTGTCACCGCTAAGCTCTTTTTCTCGAAGACGACGACTTTTTGATTCCTCCAGTCATCTTCGGTATTACGTGATGATTACATGTCTATTTCATGTTTAGGATCTCTTTAAATCATCCAATATGTACTTTCAGATTTTTTAGATTTTTCTTTAATTTTTCTTTTTTAGTATTTATACATATCTAAATTAGACCTCTATTTGACTTTATGCTTTTTACCGCTATTTTGCCGCAATAGCCCGAAATAGCCTTAGCGATGCCTCACCGCTACGCGGCGCTATCCGCTATCGATAACCTTGAACAAAACCTTTTCAGTTGAAATTAATGAGGCCAACTACCTGCCATGTAAGAAGTCGAATCCGCATCACGTGATGAACCACGTGACGTTTAATCAACGAAAATTTTGCTCCGACCAGAAAATACTTGTTGTCACTGTCTCCCACCTTTATATAACTTGTTGACGCCGGAGTACGAAAATATACCAAGTTGGTACTTAGAGTCAACAAAATATATCAAGATGATAATTTAGCCCTAAGAAAAACCATGAAAGTTTATTGCTGTTTTGTAAAACTTATTGTTTCATGTACTCTCTTTACTGCATTGAATCACTCTATTGCAAATCCCCTTAAACCATACTTATCTTGAAGTGGATTTGTGGTGGATTGCCGTTTGTTATTTACCTGTAGCTTTCATGCCCCAATTTCTATTAGAGCTATTCAGTTTCAATATGATATTTACTTCAGATGGGTTTTCCTCTTGAAACACTAGAGTAAGTTTTGGAATTTAAAGCTCATGTCAGCATACAAAGCAGAAAAAGACACCATATGTAAATCCGATCATACATGGATGTATCCCAAGTTAATAACTGTACTATTTAGGTCCAGTTGGCATTTGTGGTGGGACTTTTTGTTGGTTTTTATTTGTCGTATGAAGAATTTGCATTGGTTTCTGGATTGTAGTCACTCTTTATTCACAATTTCCTAAGGGAAGTTCTGGTTCTCTTATAGGATGATTACTGTTAACTATCTTTTAACATCAGTCACGTTGATGGATGGTTATATGAATGGAATGTAATGTATCTTAATAAAAAAATATTCTGGAAAATTTGAACTGCTTTTATGGACCTCAACCTAAACTGAAGCTTCAGTTATGGAACTGATCTTTCTTCGAGGAACATTGTTGAATCAAAATAGTTAGGGAAAAAAAGGAAGAACCTTTGAAATGAGCAATAGGTAGATAATATAAATAGGTACATGAGTCGGGAAAGGTGATGAGATCTAGTACCAGTCCTCCTTTCATATCTCATTCAGAGCTTCTTTAATTCTGATTAGACCAACTGCCTTTTAAGTAAACCCAAGCAATCAATCATATTGAAAATATGGCATCACTAGTTCTGATTTAGTCATGCTCGAATACCAATCTTGAATCAAATAAAGTAAGTATACAACAGACGAAGAATAGTAACTAACTAAATGATTAACATATATCTAATAGACTGACAATTACATGCGTAGCTAACGATTTGAAATACTTTTAAAAAATTAAGAATTCTGAATTTGTTGCTTCAGCTCTCCTTAATAAACTGATGAAAATCACTTTTTTCTTTTGGGAAAAAGCACTAGGGATAGCGAATTGTCCATCTATACTATCCTTGGTCCTGGCAAATAGATGTATAGTGGTATGACATGTATGACGTGTACCTCAACCAGTAACTGGTGTAATCTGGACCTCTGGTACACCCAAACAGGGATAATGTATGTCAAATCCCTGTATTTAGAGACGACCTCTGGTACACCCAAATATGGATAATGTATGTCAAATTCCTACATTTAGAGAACTAAATCATTAGTTCACCTTAAAGATATGTCTAAGATGAAGTACGCTATTCCCCCTTATAACTGGTGCTATCTTTTTTATATGAACTCTTTAACTTAGGTTGTTTTATACTATGTAGCACGGACACGGATCCGACACGGCCATCCGACACGCCGACACGAGGCAAATCCTAAAAAATACATAGAATACGTGTGTTCGACACGTGTGTCCGATACGGACACGACACGACACGGCTTCATGTTATGCGTGTCCGTGCTTCATAGGTTTTATATATTAATAACAACCCTCTACATATATTCATGAGTGAAATGTACACAAATTCAAGAAAGCTATACATATAAATCCATGTCTATGCATCTAGATTTTGGACAATGTTGTATTTGAGACATGTGTCCCTGTCGAAATATGACAATGGTAATCCATCTCTACTAAATGCCAATAATAGGAGGAAAAAAGAGGCCCAAAATCAATGGTTGATGTCTCTATAGGAATCTGGCTCATGAATCTCAGACTTTCTGCTGTATCCTGAAATTTGTTTTCCTGTGTTTTCTTTGTTGTCAGTTCAACTATCTCTAATAGATTTTGGTTGATTACCTGTACCTATGCAATAATTGTGCTTGTCATTGTTATGTCTTTTAACATAATTAAGTAGCACATGCATGTAACTATGTATGCATCTCAAATGTAGATCAAGTTTAATAGGTCATTTCATGTTGTCTCGTACAACCCAAATCAAAACACCATGCGGGTTTGACTTGTGTTAAATGAAAGTTGATTTGGTTAGAAGATATCCAGTCTGACCAAAGGCAATTTCCCTTATTAAACTTGATTCGGGTTACATATTCATGGCGTAGGTAACTATTTGAATCCTTTCCTATTTACGCTATGTAATGGTCACAGTCTCTGCTAAAGGTATCACACATCTATCAATCTCTTATGTTTTCCTTAGTGTCGTGTTTTCCCAAAGAGGTTTAGAGAGGAAAGGAAGAGGGTGGTAGCAGGTTTTTAGCTAAAGTCTCAATCTATCCGTGAAACTGTGAACCGTGTGCGATTCAGCACACCAAAACATTTCAGGGTGCTGATTATGAACCTTGATTTGCTTTATACTTTATGAAAAGGCAATTATGTTGAATCGCCTGCTACTCATGTTCGATATTACCCATTGTATGGTGATGGTCCTTGCTCATGGAATTGCACGTCTATCAATCATGATGACAGCTAGATTTAATATCTATCAGGATCTTTTATACATCATTCTGAATGTGGTGTTATATTCTCAATAGGTGATGGGGTGTCGATCTAGTAAATTTAGATCTAACCCAATAAATTCAAGCGAACATGCAAAATAACAAAGTTTTTCTAGAGAAATATGGATTTAGGGTTAAAACTTTAACATGATAGACATGACCTGATTCGGAACCCAGAAAAAAGAGCCAGCCAGCTTAACGAAAGAGCGGGATCTGGCCTGAGATGTAGACATGAAGCCTTCCAAAAGGCCATCTTTTGGCTACATTCATTAATTTTGTCGTATAATCCATTTCCTTTGCTGCAGCTTATTTTGAATTATCTTTGGTAAGGAGTTAATTGTAAATAACATTGATCTTTCTTTGTTAACCACCAGGAGATGTTCCAAGAGTTAATGGTCAATTAGCTGTTTCCCGTGCCTTTGGAGATAAGAGCCTCAAATCTCATTTACGTTCAGATCCTGACATTACTGTACAAGATATATTTTCCGATACTGAACTCCTCATCATTGCAAGCGATGGTCTTTGGAAGGTTCACACTAAACATATGCTGATTATTTCTCCTACCATACATTTTAGTTTAATTAATAAAATTAAAAAAAAATTGAAGCCTTTCTCTTGTAATTTTCCAGGTTATGACCAACCAAGAGGCAGTTGACCTTGCTGTAAAGATCAAGGACCCTCAAGCGGCAGCTAAGCAGTTGACGACTGAAGCAGTTAACCGAGAGAGTAAAGATGACATATCATGTGTTGTTGTACGACTGAAGGCATAAACGTGCATGACTGGACTTCATTAATGGACCTCCTCAGAGAATCGATTTTAGACTCGTATGTTATATAGCTTCGGCTTCCAAATAGTTGGACAACGAAAATAGTTGTCATGGTCTCCTCATTGCTTTCACTTGTAAATGTTTCTCTTGATATTGTTTGATTCCTTTGTAGTGTCTTAGTTAATATGAGCTTACCTTGTTTCAAGTTCCTTCGTGGTTGAAATTTATATCCAGTGATAGGCAGTGAATTTACTTAATGATTAGCAAAAGTTTTATGTTTTAAGATGTTTTATAAGTATTTATTCATCTCAGGGAAGGCTAAATTGTGCTCCGTCACTGTCTATCTCAAGCAAGTATTATACAGTTTTATTTGGTGAATGGGACCATTTCAGCTGCACAATGTATTTCGATACTCGCAATCTTTTTCATAAAATTAGTTGATGGTGTGCATGAATGAGCTTGCGTTGCTTTGCAGAAATTCGCACAAAAGCAATTCTACAAAGCCGACGTCTTTGGTACTCCAAAAAAATGATTTTTGGAATACCGGTGGCAGTAGCTGTAAATAATTCCTTAAATTTAGCGCTCACAGTTTTCATAGTGGGGCCTGCTCATGACAATTGGAGTTCTACTATCATATCATGTCATACTGTCGAGTGAGAGTTTGATAAAAACTTTATCGAGACAAGAAAAAACCCTTGACCATTTTAGATATTGCATTATATCATATATCCTATTGTAATTAATTTTAATTAATAGGTATAAGTTTCAATTATCCTATCCTATCCCAATTAATATGTATATAAGCTCAAATTTGATTTACATATGCTAAAAATTATGTTAAGTACTGGCTAATTGTTTAACCTCCACATTCAGCCAGTTCTCCAAAAATTACAAAATAGAAAATCTTCGAACTTACAAAATTTGTTTACTAGAGAACTAACAAATAAAAAAAATCTAAACTCTTTATCTTATTATTTAAATTTAAAAATAAAGATAATAGATGATATTGCGAAATATTCTCACCTTCTAAATTATTTTCATAATTAAAGAGACAAATATTAATTTTGCGTGAGTGACCAATCTAGAAAGTTTTCAAAATTCATACAATTTGCACAAATTGTAGAAATACCCAAAAGATATAATTTGAAGATTTTAAAAAAATCAACATACAAATTTAGCAAAAAAAAATCCAAAAAGACTAAATTGTATATTTTGCCTGAAACCCAAAAAAATTCAAAATCCGTAGAAAAATTCTAGATTTTACAAAATTTCCACATAATCCTAAATAATGTCTTGCATTTTAAATTATCCTAGTTAATAAAAATATCTATAATATGATTTCATTTTAATCATGTTCTAATTAATTAAAAATATTTAATAAGATTCATGCTATAGATATTTTTTTCAATCTCCATGTTCAACAATTTGTAAAGAAATTACAAAATAGAAAATATCAAATTTTAAAAAATTTATTTACTAGAGAAAAAAAATATATAGGTTTAAAACTGCAATCATCTAAAGATTTAAATTTGAGACCTAACAAGTAAAAAAATATAACTCTTTATCTTGTTACTCATTTCTTTATATTTAAAATTTAAAAATAAACATAAAGATAATTAGATGATATCATGAAATATTCTTCCCTCCTAAATTTATGTTCATAATTAAGAAGACAATTATTAATTATGTATCATTAACAAGTAGAGATCTTTTACCTCCTTAATTGTAGAGAATCTCTACAACTCACCGATCAAATCTCTTCACTCACTGTACCCCATGAATGATATTAATTATCTAAATAGTATAAAAATATTTTTAATTATGGGACCCACTAAGATAATCCAATAGTATTAGTACACCTAACTAATTATAAGCTTTCACTACAATTAAGAAGCTATAGAACTATAACTCATCATCAACCAAGCTAGAAAATATCCAAAGTCATAGCAATACCCAAAGGAATTCCAAAATTTGAAGATTTTATAAAAAAATCAACTTACAAAATTAGTAGAAATAATCATAAAATTTTGAAGATTTTATAAAAAAATTTAACTTACAAAATTAGTAGAAATAATCATCTATCTCAGTAAGATTCATTTTGAAAATATTACAAATATTTAAAATTTTTTTTAAAAAAAACTCCTAGATTTTACAAAATTTATAGAAAAACTAGATTTTATAAAATTTGTAGAAAAATCCAGAGTTACAAATATTCTAAATTTTTATAGAAAAATCCCTAATTTAATAAAACATCAAAATTTTAAAATTTTTATAAAAGAAATAACCCTTAAATTTCAAAAAAAACCTTAAAATTCATTAATTTAGAAAAAGAATCTGGAACCTTTCAAATTTTAGTCAATCAGAGTGAATCTGAATGACAAGAAAATAACATGAAATTTGATGTACTAAGCTTGAGAAAAAACAACATTAGAATTTAGAAATCTATTACGATCATCATCTGCATAATAACTTTTGCAAGAAAAGAAAATATGTATTCCATTTATCACAGATTATATACATTAATGAGTATATCAATACATTTGCTAGGTTTTTTTTAATATCAGTCATTTAAATCGTTAATATTTTGATATTAGCCCCTCAAGTCTTCATATTTGATATTAATCCCTCAAATTGCTAAAATATATAGACCTTATTCCTCTAAATTTTAAAGTTTTGTCATTGTATCCCCCTTAACATGTAAATAATAAATAACTAATATATTTTTTAGAGAAAAAGGTCTCCAATTTAGTCATATAAAAAAGTCACCGATTTAGTAATATAAAAATATTTTTTTAGAGAAAAGAGTCCCCAATTTAATCAACTTTCCAATGGTGCATCCAGTACCGTTTGTGTTACCATGTACATATCATATAAAAAATATACTTTATGCCAAGATAATCAAATAATAATAAAATGCCTGCAATCCCATAATGCAATTTGAGACTTTTTTTCTCTAAAAAATAGTTTATTTTTGGTCATTTACAGGTTAAAGGGGATATAAGAAAAGTTAAAAGTTTAAGAGCATTATGTGAGAGACCCCAGAGTTTAGAAGGTCAGTGGGTATTTTGGTCGTTAGATTATTTATACTCATTTCAGTCTTAAAAATATATATTTTTTAGCAGAAAAACAAGGGAAATTTTCTGTTCATTTCATTCATGAGTATAAAGATGGACACGAGGAAGTGTCCTATAAAAGTATAGATAGAAACATATCCTTTCTCTATAGTTAGTACGTAGGACCTTCTCCACAAAATTATCAGCGAGGGTGACGAGAGGACCATAGCCGTCATTCACAACAACGCTGATAATGTTATGACACAAAGTCGGCCATACGACTAAGACAGAGTGGTTAAATTTAAATAATTTTATATATTATTATATGTAAATACTCAAAAATTCTTTATATAATTCCTCCTAAATTTAATTTTTTGGGAAAAATGTGTCTGGGCCCCAAAAGGAGAAACTTCATGTGTTGCAGCCCCTCCTAGTTTTCCCCATGTGGTTCAGCCACTTGAAGTGTGACATTTTGTGCTGCAGCACTTTTTTAGAAATTATTACATGCCAGCTAAACTAAAATCCCCAAAATATCCTTATCCCCTCTCCTCAATCCCTCAGACCCAGTACTCATGTCCTCTCTCTCTCATCTCCTCTCTCTTTCCTATCTCTCTCTAAAACCAAGGGCTTTCTCAAGCTCGTCGCTCTGGCCCTCGCCCTCCTCGCCGTCGCCACCTCCGCTCAGGCTCCCAAGCCTCCCCTGAGTTCGTCGCCGCCTCCCCTCCTCTCCTCCGCCCGACCTCGTCGCCGTAGCTCGCCGCCACTCCCCGCCTCGCCCTCGACTAGGCCGAAGTTCGCCGCTGCCGCTCTCCGCCTCGCCCTCGAGTTCACCGCCGCCTCCTCTCCGCTCGACCTTCGAGTTCAGCCTTCCCCCACCCTTGAGTTCAGCCTTAACTTCAGCCTCCAAGGCTCCACTTCGAATTCGGCCACCTTGATCTCATCGATTCCATTCTCTTAAATAATTTGGAAGAAAAAAACATCCACTGCAATTTATCTACCTCATCAAGAAGCTCAGTCCGTCCCTTTCCTGCTTCAATTGTAGCTAAAGTCTTATCATGCCAACTATGTTGAAGAAGCCAAGAAATATGATCTTCAGCATCTCTAGAGAAAACAAATATGTTAAGATTTTTATCAAACCAAATATGTAGTTCTACAAGTTCCCCAGTCTGTGGACTATAATACTGTTAGAACTAACACGCCAAAGGGGGACCTAAATCTTCATCTTTTAATTGAATCCGCGCTCATTTTCGTGAAATTCTGGTTTTTGTACGGATTGGCTATTAATGTATAAAAAAGTATGAGAATTTCTAAAGCGATCAAGGATGTGGAAGTGAACGAGAAGGCGTTAAATCTAGAACTAACACGCAGTGTGTTAGAACTAACACGCCGTGGGCTAGAACTAACACGCCGTGTGTTAGAACTATAGCGAAAATAGTATTGTAAACATACCTAAAAAATATCAGAACTAACATCAGAGCTCACAGAACTAACATCAGAGGTTACAGAACTAACATCATAGCTCACAGAACTAAAATTATTTTACACACAGATATAGTTCGAATCTAAAAAAACTCAAAAGACTAAAGTTGTAGGTCTCTTTAACAGCTTTTTAACGCATCTCAAATCACCTCATTCCGAGATCGGATGATAAAGTTATAACCAAAATACAGATCATATGAATAATTTGAATCCGTAATTTGAATATATCATGATAAATGATCATAAATATGTGAGGTAAATTTGAATATATCATGATAAATGATAACAACTATGTGATATGGTTATAAATAACATTTATAAATAACATTTATAACATTTATCGATGTTTAAGTATGCTAGGAATTGGTTTGGGATCAATTTAATATATATATGTGCCTGAATGTGGAAAAACTCAAAAGACCAAAGTTGTAGGTCTCTTCAACAGCTTTCTAACGTATCTCAAATTACCTCATTCCGAGATCAGACAAAGAAATTACAGCGAAAACAATATCATAGGAACTCACAGAAGTAACATGGGAGCTCACAGAACTAACATCATAACGCACAGAACTAACATAGGAGCTCACAGAACTAAAACTCATTTTACACACAGATGTAGTTTGAATCTGAAAAAACTTAAAGGACCAAAATTGTAGGTCTCTTCAACATCTTTTCAATGCATCTCAAATCACCTTATTTCGAGATCGGATGAGAAAGTTATAACCAAAATACAGATCATATGAATAATTTGAA